AATATCTGTTTCAAAGCTATGCTAATTTATAGCAAATTTTATTTTCCATCTTTATAGAGAAGGGGTATGGAATAATCCGGCATTCACAACTAGTGAAATATGAGACACTCAAAGTGAAGGGACTTATGTCACAGATATCATTATACCTTTACTTCGAACTAGTCTGGAGGAGCTTCCTAATGGTGGAATTTTTCTAAGCATGCCGAACATCAAAGTATGGCAAGCAAGGTTCATAAAAGTTTGAGATCAAATGAAGAAAGATCAATATACAAGACCCCAATAGGAAAAAAACTGGGATGTTATGATTATGGCAAAATATGGAGGTAAGATTTTTGAACTTGCTTATGTTGAATTATCACGAATTTTTTGTACTAGATTAAAAAGAGAGGATGATTTGGTGAAATTATGGAGAGAGACTTTAGATGGTATAAGTTTTGTAGGTGTTGCATGTAGGCCAATGAACAATCAATTTGGTATTGTTGGAATTCAAGTAGCTGGTGAAGATCTATATTTAAATATTTTAGTAAAAGATGTGAGTGGAATGCCGAGATATTTTCATGTAGATCAGGTGGAAATACTTTTTACAAAAAATACTCCATGGCGTGTAGAACCCCTTATTCATTTACTTTTAACTCTTAGAAATATTATGATTGTAAACCAAAGCTTATTGATACAAGCTCTAGAGCAAGCCAATACACGTCCACCAAGAAATGCTACCCAAAGTCCCACGGTAACATCCCCATCCCATAAATAGATAGATTTTTCTTCGTATATCATATATTTTTATCCTGTATATTTATTGTATATATATTTTATGTGTCTCTGACACTAGCTCCGCTATTAATAAAGATTTTTGGTTAGAGGAACGTACAACGTATCGTGTGTTATTTTTTGTGTAGATATATATATGGTTTTGCCTTAATTCCGGTTTGATTTTTTTGACGACGGGCCGTCGCTGAAATTTCGTACTTGGATTCTTGCCTTTAATTAAGAGAATTCAAATTAGTGATCAAAATCACATATGACCGAACCTTGTTGGATAAAATTGAGGCTTGGATTGAAAAGGAGAAAAAAGAAAGATAATTTCGTTATTAGTAGAATGACAATAGGAATAATTGTAATATCCTGTAGCAATAGTAATAATAATGATGATAGCTACATATAAAAGGGCCCAGGATTCCAGCAGGCATGGCATGCTATATTCCTACATTTCTATGACCGCCATATATATTTGTAATATAATATCAATAACCCTATTTTATTCCGATGCAAATTTTGAGTCACATGTTTTGTACGCCAATAAACTTGCGGATAAATAAAATAGATTGCTTCAGCGACATATTTTAACTTGGAAATACGCGTGATGGATGCCTACTTTGATGAAACTCTACCTGAAAAATATCGGTTTTTAGACTTTTACAAGTACCGCCAAAAGCAAAACGATTTTACATTTTCATTCCAAAAAGAATCGCTAAAGCTTCAGAAGAGTTTGGACTCTTTATTGAAGAGCAACGGTTGTTCGGAAGACGTTAAGAGGAAAGCCAACCAGATGAGAAATTGCTTTGAGGCAAGTTTTCTTTTGATTTTTAGCTGTCTAGCATAACAGGCATATGGAAGATTCCCAGTAGTCCCGAGAAGGGATAAAACTCTCACAATTACGGTAGGCATCTGCGCGTTGTCTACTTTGTGGTCTGCGTGTCCATTGTGGTCTGCTGATAGGCAGTATGGGAGGCTCCAGTAGTCCTGAGAAGGGATAAAACTCACACATTTACTGTGGGCATCTGCGTGTTGCCTACATTATGGTCTGCGTGTCCATTGTGGTTGTCACCTAAACATTTTTTCACACGAGCATCTCAACAATCACAAGATTTTACATTAACATATTTCCTTTTTTTTTGTTAGGACCATCGATTGTGCAATAAGGATGTCGATAACTTCTGGAATGAAATTGAAGATGAGTGCCTGAACAGACAATATACCGATGAAAAAAAACGACTGCAGTTAGATCAGGTTGACTATCGGAATATTACTTACCTACCTTTAGTATAATTGTATATTTAATGATTTGCTTTGAATTATAGGTGAAAGTAGCACGCGTTATGGCACAGGGAACTGAAGGCGGTGTAAGAAATATTATGAAAAATGTCAATACGGAGTTGGTATGATTATTTATATGTAATATTATTGAAGTCATTTGGCAATAAAAAATGATAACATCAGATTTATTTACGGGAAAAGGAAGAACCAATCGCACACGCCATCCAACCAAAAAAGCTAAAAAGAAAATATGATGCCGATGAAGAAAATTTAGGAATAAATGGAAGTTCAGATAACATCAATATAGAATCAACGGAATTGGATCCTAATGATGAGATTAATATTAAGGATAATGAAATCTCGGAATTTGATCCATTAAGTGATTTAAGTGATTCAGAATCTTATGTTAGTGAAACGGATTCTGAAAGTGAATTGCCTCCTGTGCAAAAATATCCAAATGTGGATAGCCCGAGAGATGATTGGATCCTTCCATCAGGGCAATCAATAAGAACTATAATAAAAGGTCCAAATATTCTTCACAAATCTCAGTAAGTTGCAGATTTATAACTTTTCTTTATCCCACCTTCCAATTTCGCCTATGCAATTATTATTTATTACATGTATATTTAGTCCGTCACGTTTGGGAATAATACGTATTGGCATCAAAGTTCGTAAGCCTGAATGGATAAAGGATGAGGATTGGCTTTATTTAAATTCTAGTGTCGAGTTTCCAAATTTTAAATTATCATCTAAAACAGAAGAACTATTAACTTTACTCTTAGAGACTGTAAGTATAACCCGATATTATTATTTTTTTTTAACAAAAAATTTATTAACAAATATTAATAATAGGGCTCTTTAACTGAATATAAACAAGCCATTCGTAAAGCAAAATTTGATAATGACATTGATGCTGAAATGGAATTTGTAAAGATGTTCTTTGGTGGTTGTAAGTATGCCTAATAATAATTTGTTAAAATGAATCTCAAATATTTTTATATTTTTATTTATTTATTGATTAATTTTTATTAATTTGAAGTGCGAATAATATATTTAATACCGCATCCGCTTTTCACGGTATACATAAAACTGAGGCACTTTTAGGATCATCAATGATTCATCCAATGTTACAGTGCCTCATGAATACAACAGACCGTATTACATATAATCCGTATGTTAATATAGAATTATATTTTGATTTGCATTTCGTTTTTCTTGAAGCATTAAAACCATACTTTTTTTCAACAAATAAAACAGTGGAGAAATTTATTTAGAAGCAAGTGCCAATCAAAGATTAATAAGGCGCAAATTAAAACCTGATGATGACAAACCTTTAGGTATGAAGGTGGATGGCATATTTCATACTCCGGGAGATAAAGGAATTGAAATTGGGATGATCGAGATATCAGGTGGTTATTTAAATTCGGATACGCCCCGATATATAAAAGATCACGTTAAAGGTTATTGGGGATGTCGCGATATTCTCAATGATACTGTGAAAAAATATAATCGTGGAGATTATAAAATTTTAAGAAATTTACGTACATGGTTCTTTCATGTACATGGTAAGTTAGCAGATAAATTCTGTATTTTGATTTTACAAAGTAAATAAATTATTTTTATTTGTGCATACAGGGCAAGAGGTACAAGTATGGGGAATGGATATACCAGTTTCGAAAATATATAGAATGTTTTTAATTAGTACATTTTCTTTGCCAGTTAATTGGGATGAGCATTACGAATTAGTGCATGCATTAAGAATTTTATGGAATTTGGGGGTAAGTAAAATTTGAATGTATTCCTTTGTATTAAAAAATCTTATTCTAATTATTGTTTACACAGAGAGGGTTGGATGACTCTTTCAAGTTACTCGAAGAATTTAAAAAATCTCACCGACGAAATACAGCATTGCATTCACGAACTTCACTATTGAAAAACTATATCGGTGATGTCATTAATAATTCACCATTAAACCCAACTGGGAAAAAAGCTCGAATGATAAATCCTCATCCTATACCTAATGATGATGATGGTGATAACGATGATAACGATGATAGTGGTCCACCTTCACCATCTCCGTCAGGACATTCCGGATACCCTCGCCAATTAACCCCTTATTAAAGTTTATTTACCAACTTGATATATTTTGGGATTTAGATTTAGTGAAATATGGTTATTGAATTATTGATTAGCGAGTACGTTTAACATTTATTTGCATTCTGAAAAATAAAATTCTTGAATCAACACCTTGATATTAATAATTGTTTTACTATAAAAGTATAATAAAAAATCAATAAAGTATTCCACGATCGTTAAACCTATTAATTATTATCAGATTGCACGATCTGCAATGTTTTTATTCGTGATTTAGTCTTGATTTGATATCCCATTTGATTCATATTTTTTTTAACGACGGGCCGTCGCTGAAATTTTTTTTACTTTGTTACACATTTTAAATAAATAATAAATATATACAATCTATCACTAAAACATGCAATCTGAAATTGATTTACTAAAACAACGAATTTCTGAGCTTGAAGCCGAAAAGGCTGAGCTCGAAGCCAAGAATGCCAAGCTTTTAAAACAGGTTACGGAAGAGAGCACCAAGCGAGAAGCTGAAAATGCCGAGCTCAAGGCCAGGATCGCCAAATTGGAACAGATCGCAGAAGAAAATACCAAGCTTAAAGATAGAATCACGAAATTAGAACAGAAACAGATCCAGGATATTACTAATGAACAGGAAGCATCTCCTACAAAAGATATTTCACCACTTATCGAGAGCCATTCTTATGAGGAGAAAGGTATTACCCCCAATCCCTTGCCTGAAATAGAATATGGCTCAACCCAACCTGAATTTTCAATGGAGCCTGAAACATCTACAACTTCTTTACCACAAGATGACGATTCAGCTGAGATCCTTGATTTTGTAGAAACGATACATAAGGAAAGGATTAGTAGTGAGATAAGAGAGAGG